GCGGAAAGGCTTGATTTGGTGCACATATAGTACGAGGCTTGACCTCGTCTCGGCGCTCAACTCCGCTTTGGTCGAGATGTGCAATACGAGAGTCCAGATACGTGGGGTCACGAGTCTCTGGTAATTCTTTCGCATCGGTAAATAGTGCATCGTTTTGTGAGAGACCGTCGCAAAAAGGTGGGGTAGAAAGCGACGAGCGATTCTTTCCCACTAGGAATACGGCGCGAGATGCCATACCTAAGTAAGGCCTAATGATTTATGATTCTACCTGGATTGGTGTTAGATAGACAGTTGTATGAATGTTGGTTTTTTACCTGTTGCAGGTAGAGGCAGGTGGATGACCCAAGATAACGTTCGAAGAGATCAACGGCGAAAGCACGTGCTGAATGTGGTCTTTTGTTTTCCGCCGCCTCGTGGCTTGGGTCATCCACCTACGCCCACCAACAGGTAAGAAACCCGCTCTCACACAACTTCCAGCTGAAACACATCCTAGTCTTTATAATTGTAGGGCATTATGGCAGCTGACGCGGACGTGTGCTGCCCCGCATGCAACCTCGTATTCCCTGTGGGAAAGGGACTTTCCATCCCGCCTTTTTGCGACGGTCTCTCACAAAACGAAACAACATTCATGGATGCGAAAACTTTGGAGAGTGATGACCGTGCGCACCTCGCATATCTGGACTCTCACATTGCACACCTCGAACAATGCGTACTTGCTTTGAAAGAGCGCCGAGACGGGGTTAAGCATCGTATATACGCGGCAAAACAAACCCTTCCTCTTATACGATGCCTGCCAGATGACACTCTCCTTGACATCTTCTTCCACTGCACCCTGCCTTTTTCTGGGAGGTCGTGGTCCGATTTGTTCACCAGATCGATGAACTCCCTGGATACCTGTAACGCGCCCTGGTCTCTGTCGCAGGTATGCCAGAGGTGGAGAGACATCTGTCTATCATCGCGAATGCTTTGGTGTTTTGTGGGCGTTGACCTTGGCGGAATGTTATGGGTTGGACCGGCAGAGCAGTACAGGTTGAAGTTGCACCTGGAGCGTTCGGGGAATTTGGAATTATACGTCAATCTCTCCGTTGATGCTGTTTCGGAGTACGAATGGGGGCAGGACGATGCAGCCGCTTCGCGCCAGGAGGAAGCCGTCCGCCGACAATTGCTGGATGTCCTAAAGGCCACGACGCGGCGTTGGAAATGCCTACGGATCCAGCTTCCCTATTCAATATTGCATGATTTCTCGGACTGCACATTTGATTCGCTGCAGGAGCTGCTTATCGAATACCAATCAGTCACAAACAATACACCGTTATTCGCGGCGTTTGAGACTGCTCCTCGCATACGAACCTTTGCGTTGCTTGACAACGTGTCTCGTCCAGATACGCTTATGATCCCTTGGTCGCAGATTACGGACTTTGGAAATATTCCCTCTTCTGCGTGGATTGCCCTTGAACACTTGGGAATAATGAAAAATCTCCAGAGGTTGAATCTTGGGTCGATTCGGGTTGCAGGCACCTCGAGCTTGAACGGGGGGCCAATCTCCTTACCTTTCCTGACTTTCCTCTCCATTCCGCGTGTTCAAATTCCTTACGGAAGTTCGTTTTCGGATGCCGTTCGCACTCCCGCCTTGAAGCACCTCCGTGTCGGGGAGGAAGGGTTGTACAACATGTCTATAGATCTTGGACGTCTGTGCGGTTCCTCTATGCTCAGATCCGTGACACGACTGGAAATTGTCAACGTGAACTTCACGTACGGTCTTTATCAATTCCTACTTGTCACTCCGAATGTGGAGCATTTCGAAATATCATCGCACCTTTCTGGGGAGTTCTTCGAACGACTTACGCTCTCTGATTGCAGCGGACATACGAACTTGCTCCCAAGACTTTGCCTTCTGGACATAACCGAAGCGGAATACGCCATCGCACTCGACGATTATATCCTAGACATGCTGGAGAGTCGCCGCGCTGTACTGCAGGAACTCCATACATGTACGGGATTCTCCTGGGTCGGCGGGCGCCCGGACTCTTCCCGGTGGCAGAGGGTTCGTCAGGTTGTGCGAATCGTGCATACTCGCGAGACGTTTCATCTGGACGAGCTTGGTGTCGACTACGACGATGACGAGGATGATGATAGTGATTATGTGCCGGGAACAGACTCGGAATCAGAGTATACCAGCGGTTTGACTGATGAAGACGATGAAGAGGGATAGGCTCAGAGGCCGCGTGCATCCATATTATTCTTATCGAGATGTTGGAGGCTCTGCTGAGCCTTAGTGTTTATGAAAGAAGGCTTTCCTTAGTCTCGCGGGGTGCTTGGGCGGCAACCCACTGATTATGTAAATCACTCAATTTGGAAGGTCCTTTTTTTCTCTTCTCACGACGACACGGACGCGTCTGCCCATGCATGGCGCGAACGACGCGACGAACTTCATACAATTTGATCCAAGTAACCTTAATGATCCACAAAAGTGCTGAAATTACACTCTCCTCCCCCTCCTGTTACTGAACTGCCTACTATCCCTGCTAATACCGCGCTTCGCCCACATCTGCACCACTTTCTTCCCTCCAGACCGACACTACTCTTTTCCTTATTGGACTCCCTGACCCTTTGGGCTCTCCATACTTCCCTTCCGCGACACTCCTCAGTAATTCTCTCCGCCTGCTGCATCTCGCTGCCGATCACTCCGCCGGCTATGTAACAGTTCATCATTGTGGCGAATGAGATATCTTGAGGAGTACTAGCAGTTCTTCCAACAAAAATGACATTCAATTCATTTGTGCCTCGTATTAGCAGCGTGCCGGGATAAATATACAATAAAGAGCAATATTCCATACAGTCCGTGATGTTTATGTAGAAAGCGTCGTCGATGAGCCTATTCTAATTTCGAGGTGTCCCGAAGAAAAGTATAAGATCCGTTTTATGCCCGTCTGCAGTCGTTAGTTCACCAGATGACGCGGCGCTCGACGGTGATGTGGCGGGCGGTGCAGAGGGTGAGTGGCTTGCTGTAGGAGACATTGCGCCTGACACGGGTGACGGATGGGTACCTGCAACGAGATATGTCAGCTGTGCGGATGGTCGTGCGCAGCGGCGGGCTCACCGCGCGTTATACACCTCGTGTTCTGATTGGACTTCCGTCGACGGCACTAACAACGATGATGAGCGAGGCGGGCGACACAGCAGGGAGGCAGCACATACCAGGTACTTAGTCATAGTGAGACCCCATGATAAGACCTTCTTTTCGTCCAGCGATGCCGTGGTTGAGGGCCACGATGTCTCCAAGCTGCGAGAGAAAATTTGAATCCGTCGTCCGAACAGAGATCACAGCAGCTTTTCCTTTAGACATACTCCAGGCGACATACGGGGGCATCCTTAGGCAGAAAATGCGAAGAGTGTCAAAGGAAAATGGTTACATTGGCGGCGATTGTGGTGGTAGGGTGCAAGACGCGTCGCCCTAATTGGGACATTTACATAATCAGTGGGTTGCCGCCCAAGGGGGGCGCGATCAGTAACAGACTACATACAGTACTTACTCGTTCGTCACTGTATCGTCCGTCTGTCTTTGAGAGACTAGGCTTTCCTCGGAGTGCGGAACACCGAGAGTTCTTGAAGATTTTAGGTAGAATAAGTAGTTGTAGTATTACTACTATTCCTTAGGAATTGACCTCTTTCTATCCCTTCATTCAGCGGAACGATAGCGGTACTAATGAATCGGCCAAATCCTACACCGTGACAATACTACGAAGAATGATAATTAGATCGCTACAGCGTGATTCACCAGAACTTTCCAAACACCCACCCAAATGCCTTCTCGTGCACATAGAAAATACCCTGAATCAAGTAGCTCACAAGCGTGTCCGACACCGCTTTGTCCTACACACCGTTGATCCCAATCTCTTGCGTGTTAGTGTTCACTCCAATAACGAAAAGCGCATCCCCAGGCTGGTCGATGATCGTGGCAGCGACCTTGGAAACTACGCGAAGCGGCGTGGCGCTCCCGACCTGGTGCACGACGGAGACATAATCGGGGCGCTGGATGAGCCCCCACTCGGTGGTCTCGACGATGAAGCGCCCCGAGCGCGCAGGCTCTTCGCGTGGATCAGCAGAGCCCAGCTGATCCAACTTCGTCCGAGTCGCCCAGTTATCCACTGAGCACTGATAAGCGCACAGTACAATGACATGCTTGAGTGAAACCGACATTTCCGCGTCCTTACTCAGCGACGAGGGCACCGCAATTCAAGACTGTCACACTGCGGCTTTCATCGTCCAATGACAACGCACTCCGTGCGCGTGAGCAGGATGATATTGCGACGAAATAAGCCTGAGAGCGCAAGGTTACTGTGGTACCCCCAGCCGAAGTTTCGAGAAGACGTGACATAGTATTGAACTGCGCCTCAATGAGGTGATTCGAAGTGATCACCAGTAAGATGCGACTATCGAAAGTACATATCAGTCGAGCGAACATGTCGCAAAGTACTTAGTATTCAATCGGATGCACCGAAAAATGGACGCCGGCCGATGTTGATGCAGGCACGATGTCGCCATTCGTCCGACGTCCTGTCTGAGAAACATAAGAAATAGATTATAGGCGCTATGTTGGGTCGGAATTCACTCACATCGTCTAAACCAACGCATCCAGTGGGCGACGAGTCCGACAACTTAGTCTATGATCCACATTGCCATGTGCGAGTTTCTGCAAATTAAGATATAAGGCTGGCACCAGGGGCATGAAAGACTGCCGGGACGAAAACTTGCGGCGCCACAGGAAACGAAGTTCAGAACCTAGACTGACTCGGACAGCGAGGACTCAGTCCTCAGGGACAGTTAGGCATGACGTTCTCCCAACTTCTCCGCAGACGAGGACCATAACGCGTACGCCGTAGAGAGTGAAAAGAAACAAAGCCCACGTGCCGCCAAGCCACCGATCGTTGACTCTCCGAGTTCTCGGAGGCCGAACATATTCAAGTCAAGGCTCAAAAGGAAATTCTACACGGCTGTCATTCCCTCTAGCCGACTTGAACGACTGACCTCGTCATGAAACTCTTCTTCTTGCCCCATGCTATACTAGTGACGCGCTCTACCACTGAGCTAAGAGGGATGAAACCTCTTCGAGTATGTGTTGAAAGCTGTGAACGGTGTTTCTCAATTCAAAACCTGGAGTTAGGAAGGCGACCTCCTCCTCGATGGGCAGAACGGGCTCTAAAGTTCGCGAGTTCTTCGAAAACATGACATCTTCATCCTAGTAGCTTACAGACCGATAGTAAATAACGATAACTAAGTTGTCCATTAGACATATGTGCTCTGCTTCTTGATTGTCGAGTTGTCTTCCGAGTCGTTGAAGGAGGATATTACATCGCGGGGGGCAGCCTCAAAATTTCCCGAGGTTCTATCGCGAGCTCGAACGATTGAAAGTTGAAGGGCAGGTCCAGACCCAGAACTCGGCGACGTCGGAAATGCATACTCGTCAGATGTCTGATTCGCCGTGCGGATGATGATGAGGTTATAGGCGATGGAGACGAGTTGTATCTCCTTGGGAGTGGGTCAGGAGAAAGTGTAACCGGCGAGCAGAGTGAACTTACGGCGTCAGAGGCGATATAGCCAGCATTCTTATCCGACCAGAAGCTTATAAACGAGCACAGGGCGCTTAGTGTGCATAAGAGCCCCGACTCTATCACAATCCGTATGACCATCTGCAGGTGCGACTTCTGCGTACGACGAGTGCGGAATCTAGCTGATTCCCTATCAATACGCCATATTCTCGCAGCGATCAAGCCTTTGTTTTCGGAACGGTCAGCCAAGAAAAGAACTATTTGGAACACAACGTACCGGTCGAAACTATATTCTGTACGATCGTCAATGACAGTATGGCTTCAAGGGAGTGTTCCAGGCGAGCAGTGTCTACTGGAGTCCCAACATGCAGCGCAACCGTGTTGTACACGTAGAAAATGACGGTCGCTGTGGTCCCCAGCCACAGAGCTGCCGGAAGGCATATGACCTTCAAAGAATGCAGGTATACAACCCAGCATCGGAATACCTGCTAATCCTGAGAAGATAAACCGCATAAATAGTGAGAGGACGTTACCAGAACAGCGTCAACAATCACGATGGCTATGAAGATCCCGATGACCTGGGGAGTAATTATGTAGACCCGAACATCACGACAAGCAGACAAGTAAAACTCACCAACATCGTATCAACGCCGGTAGGCGGAAAATGGACGTCTAGCCGAAGGACTCTGACTAGTCCGAGGCAGACATCCACTGTTGCAAACGAGAAGAGCAGGAGCGCCACTACCACCAGGTACCAGTGAACGCAGCGCTTCATCTTCATCCCCGACTCGTCGAGGATCATATATCGCATAGCAAACACGAAGGAGATTAAAAGCCAGCCATACATGATGCTCTCTACGAAGAGCGAGGCGATGTTAATCCGTTCCAGGGCATCATCGGTCTGGGAAGACGTCGACATCCTTCTTGTCGAGCAGGAAACGTTAACGTCACTTGAGCCAGGGTGGGCACTTTATATCAGGATCGTGGAGATGTTGCTGTCAAACGAATGTATTAACAGAAGGACTATACATAGTTCTCAGCGCATTGGTGATGAAGGGGGTAGATCCGGTTGGTTAGGCTTCGTGATTCGGGTTGAGGTTACTCCCGATGCATCAGCTGAAAACTTGAAGTTGAGTTCGTGTTTTCACAGCGAGCAACATCTGGACTTTTGTTCACAGGTGGAAGATGGAAGAAAGAGATGGAGGTGTAGCTTCGACCCTAGAAATTGATGGCAATTGTATACGTCCATGATCTTGCCCAAATCCTCGCCCGACGCCGAACGCTGTCCGCCGCCTGCATTCATATAAATACGGGATGCTTGCGTGTCTTGTCACACGCCGTCGTTCAATCATCTTCGTGAATTGGTGCGCCTGCCTACAGCCTCCTCATTTGCCTGCTGCCGTAGTACATCACATCCGACATCATGATGGGTTTACTTACACTCCTTCTCGCTTCCTTGGCCTCAGTTGAACTCGGATTCTGTACATCAGATGACAGTGATCAACTTGGGGGCAGGTACAGAGGTCTCCCAACTTCTGCCATCTCCTCGTCCAAGTGGCACGCTTTGAATGCGACTTTGGGAGGGAAGCTGCACGCTGCGGTGCCTCTCGCCGCGCCTTGCTTCAGTAGCCTGAACGGAGATGAGTTCAGAGGAGACACGTCGGAGTGTGCTATTGTTGAGACGGGTTACCGAAATCCATTCTTCCGGTCGCCCAAGCTTAACGCGTACACCTGGGTACGTCTTCCTCGTTTGTCGGCAGCCTAGAGCTTTAAATTACTTACACGATATCAGCCGCAATGGGAGAGCTGTGTGGCAAAAGAAGAATCATGCATGCTTGATCCCACCTCTACGAACAATTCTGCAGCGTGGTCTGGAAAAGATTGTGCCCAAGGAAGTGTATCCGAGTTTTACGTGAGTTCTTTCATATCTCTATTGACTCAGTCCTCAGTTGCTTGATAGGTCGATGTCCAATCAGCAGAAGATGTCCAAATCGTCTTTGCTTTCGTCCAGCAAACTGGCGTACTTGTTTCAATCAAGAACTCCGGCCATGACTTTGGCGGTCGGGGAGCCATGAAGGGGTCTCTTTCGATTTGGGTACGTTCCTCTCACCTTGTTCTTGTCAGACGCTGATTATCATTCTCACTATCGATAGACACGAAATCTTGAGACTGTTCGTACCTCTTGTTGATGTATCAACAGAAGCCTCTGATCCTCATGTCTAGATCTCCCATGATCCAGCGTTTGTTCCTGAAGGTGGGAATGCAGAAACGCTTGCTCTTACCATAGGAGTACGCCTCACATAGTCGCTGGGTTCAAACATTCGAATTGACGGACTTCTTTAGGCTGGCGTGAATTGGTACGGTGTCTACAAGTACGCCGAAGCCAACAACCTCACTGCCGTTGGCGGCTACCATCCCACAGTCGGTGCTGCTGGAGGTTGGCTGATGGTCAGTTGTTGTTTCTCCCACCATGCTATGATGTTCTCACCATGTTAATCATCACCAGGGCGGCGGACATAGCATTCTAAGTCCCGTCTACGGACTTGGTGTCGATCGCGTGGTGCGCCATCGTTCTCTTCAATTAAAAAGATCCATCAACCGTCTAACATCAGTGCCTCAGTTGCAATTCAAAGTCGTCACTCCGGACGGCAAATATCGTGTTGCAAACAAGTTTCGAAATCAAGATCTCTTTTGGGCTCTCCGAGGGGGAGGGGGAGGTACCTTCGGTGTCGTCCTGGAGTGTACGATCAAAGCGGAGCCGCAGATGAAGCTACAAGTGTATGGATTCGCTTTGCTGTCTGTCGTGTACCTAACGTGGATACTACAGCGCTTCATTGTCCTTCACGCAGACGACGGACAATGCCCGCGGGTTTTTGAAGCTCGTCATCGATAACTCCGTCAAGTGGGGAACCGAGGGCTGGGGTGGCCATATATCGGTAATGTGTGGGCTCAGGCGCTTGTGTCTACGACTAATCCATTTCATAGGCTCACGATCTCGTCAGCGTAACACCACTTCTGTCTCTAGATGAAGCCAAGACATCTATGCAAGATGTTGTAGACTACACCCTCGCGCAGAACGGTACCGCAATAATCGAAGAGGTCCCATCTTGGTTGACATTCTTCGAAAAGTATGTCTCCTTCACTAATGTTAGTCGTCTCCTTTCTTTTCCTTTCGCTCTCGGTCTAAAACATACTCAGAGTGTTGGAATAAACGCCATCGGTGGTTCTTGGCTCGTTCCGAACACAATGTTCGACAATGAGACTACCAAGGAGCAGTTGCTGGACGCGATCATGCCCATGACGGCTTTTGGGAACCCGCGCATCACGACCGCGACACCGTATCTGTTTAACTACACCACCGGATCGACAAGCGCTGCCCCGGCATGGCGGAACTCTCTGTGGCATGTACGTCGACCAGTACAAACATCAATAAGTTGACTGACTCGCTGAAGGCCGTGTTTCAATACATGTATCCTTGGAATGCGACTCAGGACGCTGTAAGAGCGGGATATCAAACTATCACGGACAACATCCAGCTTCTCAGAGATATCGCACCGGAATCGGGCGCGTATGGGGTAAGGTCATTTTTGTAGACAAGTTCCTAGTCTCATCGTATCCTCCTCCCAGAACGAAGCGGATATTTATGAGCCTGATCACGAACGTGAGTACTTTTAGATTTCCGCTTGCGATGGTTTTGAGGCATGTGCTTCAGGTGCCTTCTGGGGGGGCAATTACCCGAAGCTGTTGGAGCTCAAGCAGAAATTGTACGTTGAAAACCAAGCAACGTTTAAACAGTACTGACTAGTGTCTAGCGATCCTGTCGGTCTTCTTGACTGTTGGTATTGCGGTACGTAGTACCGGGTCTGTTATACTTTCAGAAAAACTCATCCTTATTCAGTGGGATGGCGTGGCGCAGATAACTCTCGTTTCCAGTGTTACGTATCAGAATGATGAGAGGTAGCTGTGACCTGGACTGCATATCTTATTCTTAAATTTTAGTAAACTGTTTTCCCATGTTGAACTCATATCGGCATATCGAAAAACCCCTTGTCCTGGAGATACCGTTCATACTCCTTCGCATGATGTGCTCGCACCTTTCGATCAGCCGGACTCGGAGCACGTATCAAGGGTACAAACATCTAAGGATTGTCGTTAGTATACACGGTATGGCGGGACGCTCGAAAAGAATATAACTCACGAAGGACCTCCAATCCAAAAACGCGTCCACGAGCTACTGAATTTTTCTTTAGCGCCGCTCGCCCTAATCATGTTGGTCACAAAGTCGCCCGCGATGTGCGCATCGCCTCTCTCCGGCCCGCGCCACATAAGCTTCGTCCGAAGTTTGGCCGTCGGTCCCTTCAAAATGGCCGGCGTACTAATGTTATCTTCCTCGAACGACGCTCTGTGCATGGTTGTCGGAAAGTACACGCAGATGCCATTAGGTGTGTACAACATAAGCTCGGACTGGACTCTGGAGACCGCCTGGGAGAGCACGTCAACGATATTGTCAAGGGAAATAGAACGATTACTACTAGCAACCTCGGAGCAC